CTCCACCCCCAAAGTACCATAAAGCAACAAATTATTAAATGGAAAAATCAAAGCAAGGTCAAGGTTCCACTTGACTAAGTAGAAGAAAGAGAATAACACCAACAAGTTTGGATTTTTTTTCTTCCTCTATGCTGGTCAGTTTTTTTTAAATACAACAGAAGCATGCATGCTATGTGATATAAAAGTAAAGAGCAAATAGTCTAATTTTAACAGCTTACAAAATAAGGAATTTAAGTTGCATACAAATACATAGATGAACGTTATAAATAGAAACAGCATAAAAATAATAATTTTTTTTTATATTAACAATTTTGATTCTATTATTAAAAATTAGTAATAAAATTATTACACACGAACCACACTAACTTATTGGTATGTCCATTTAATAATTAAATTAATTAATGTTAAAATTATAGTAAGTAATATACATTATACTACCTTTTGCAGTAATATAAAAAAAAATCATAGCAATATATAGACATTTTTAAGCAAAGTTGATTTAGTGGGTATGTTGTAAATGTGCCCCACTATCAAAGATGATCACCAACCATCCATTATTATGCTAGCTAAAGAAGAGCTATCAATGTATACCACAAAATTTATCTTAGCAAACTAGAGTACAAATCCATATGCAATCAGGCCATATTGTTTGATGACTTAATTCCCATGTTCATGTATGCCTTGTGAAAAATCTGATCATAGGGGCTCAAAAGAAGCTTTTGTTGATGCGGCGGGAGTCCCTTCCTCCTAAAGCCCTTCTTTAAATGGTGAAAGCCACAACTTGGACAAAGTACTAGCACGGCAAACCATCCCTCATACCGTCTTCTAGCAAATATAACGAATAAAAAATTGGGAGCATTAAAAAGACACGTTGAATGAAAATCATGCCACTGTCCAAAATCATATTCAATCTTCTAGCAAATATAACGAATAAAAAATTGGGAGCATTAAAAAGACACGTTGAATGAAAATCATGCCACTGTCCAAAATCATATTCAATCTTCTAGCAAATATAACGAATAAAAAATTGGGAGCATTAAAAAGACACGTTGAATGAAAATCATGCCACTGTCCAAAATCATATTCAATCTTCTAGCAAATATAACGAATAAAAAATTGGGAGCATTAAAAAGACACGTTGAATGAAAATCATGCCACTGTCCAAAATCATATTCAATCTTCTAGCAAATATAACGAATAAAAAATTGGGAGCATTAAAAAGACACGTTGAATGAAAATCATGCCACTGTCCAAAATCATATTCAATCTTCTAGCAAATATAACGAATAAAAAATTGGGAGCATTAAAAAGACACGTTGAATGAAAATCATGCCACTGTCCAAAATCATATTCAATCTTCTAGCAAATATAACGAATAAAAAATTGGGAGCATTAAAAAGACACGTTGAATGAAAATCATGCCACTGTCCAAAATCATATTCAATCTTCTAGCAAATATAACGAATAAAAAATTGGGAGCATTAAAAAGACACGTTGAATGAAAATCATGCCACTGTCCAAAATCATATTCAATCTTCTAGCAAATATAACGAATAAAAAATTGGGAGCATTAAAAAGACACGTTGAATGAAAATCATGCCACTGTCCAAAATCATATTCAATCTTCTAGCAAATATAACGAATAAAAAATTGGGAGCATTAAAAAGACACGTTGAATGAAAATCATGCCACTGTCCAAAATCATATTCAATCTTCTAGCAAATATAACGAATAAAAAATTGGGAGCATTAAAAAGACACGTTGAATGAAAATCATGCCACTGTCCAAAATCATATTCAATCTTCTAGCAAATATAACGAATAAAAAATTGGGAGCATTAAAAAGACACGTTGAATGAAAATCATGCCACTGTCCAAAATCATATTCAATCTTCTAGCAAATATAACGAATAAAAAATTGGGAGCATTAAAAAGACACGTTGAATGAAAATCATGCCACTGTCCAAAATCATATTCAATCTTCTAGCAAATATAACGAATAAAAAATTGGGAGCATTAAAAAGACACGTTGAATGAAAATCATGCCACTGTCCAAAATCATATTCAATCTTCTAGCAAATATAACGAATAAAAAATTGGGAGCATTAAAAAGACACGTTGAATGAAAATCATGCCACTGTCCAAAATCATATTCAATCTTCTAGCAAATATAACGAATAAAAAATTGGGAGCATTAAAAAGACACGTTGAATGAAAATCATGCCACTGTCCAAAATCATATTCAATCTTCTAGCAAATATAACGAATAAAAAATTGGGAGCATTAAAAAGACACGTTGAATGAAAATCATGCCACTGTCCAAAATCATATTACACCAAATTTGAAAAAATTCAAAAACAAAACCAAACTAATTAATAGAAGCTAAAGAATAGAAGTAAGAAAAAAAAAAGAACAAAAAATATAAAAATATAACTTCATGCCGAGTATATTGCGCAATAATTATCATTCACCACTTACAACAAGAAATGGCTAAAAAGCACTACATTTTATTCAATAAAAAATATAAATTAAGTAGAATAAGAATAAAATTCCCTTTAAATGCCTCAAGCCCTAAAAATTATTTATCATCACCTGTAAGAACCAAATGTATGCTCTTACTTTTTTTTCTTCTTTCCTTCATTGCACTCTACATTGAAGACTTCCTAAAAATCGCACTTTCCATTTTTTTCTCCCACTCGATGTTGCCGCCTTCCCGATCTGTTCGACCCCCCGCCTCTTGCAGCTATTCAGATAGAGTCGAGTGTGGCTAGGGCACTGATCACCACCTCTCCTCTCCCTTACCTCCTCCACTTCTCCCTCTTCCTCTCAATCTTCTTCCTTCTGCTCTCCTAGTTTCGCTCGAAACCATCGCCTTTGTGATCAAACACCCTCGATACCGTCACAAGTGGAGGTAGAAGTGAAGGTGACTTTAGGATCACGACATACAGAAATTTGAAACCCTCGTTTTCTCCCTTCCGTTTGCTACTACCCAAAAAGGAGGTAATGCTCATTTGCTTCGCCTCCATCCCTCTAGTACATCTGCAATTCTAAATCCCTTCCTCGAGGATTTCTTAACCCAGGATTTAAGGACAAACAGAGGCAAAACGGGGCTTGGGAACTGTGAGGATTTGATGCACATTTTTATTAATATTAATTAGGCTAAGAAATTTCTCCCTTTTAAAAATATAACAACAATAATAAATTAACAACAAGAACAATAATAATAATGAACGTCAATTAGGGTATACCTAATTTAATAATAAAATTTAACAACTTAATTAATCTTTTTTTTATTGACGTAGGATTGCTAGTCGATTTGTCAAATTCATAGGAGTATCACGTTTTGTAGCCTCGAGGTAAGCAGTTGTTGTTTATTGGAGGATAAACATACTCTTCCTAGTTATGGGCGTTATTGTTTGTGAATTGTAGTAGAATCACATCAATTATTTATGTTTTTTCAATCCTGCCCTAGGTACTTCAATTAAGATA